GGTAATTCGGCCCGTAGAACACGAATATCGCATCCACTCGTCATGAAAACTTCGTACTTCATACTTAGGGGCATGTTTTCAGCAAGACTGGTGACCCAGCTCCATTTGGCGCCGGCGCTTATAGCGCGAGCGCTAGGCATCTTTATGATGAGTGGATGCGACATTCGTGTTCTACGGGTTGAACTACCCTTTAGGCAAGTTCTTAGTCGGTTTCATCTCCTCGAAAAAAAATTCGATAGAAATCGAGCTCATTCTAGACAAAAATGGGCAGTAAAGGGTAAATAGTGCCGAAGCAAGCATATATACTAGTCAAAGGAAATACCAAGGTTGAGATAAAGTCGATCGTGGTGCATTCTACAAGACGTACCAGCCGACTACTTCCGACTTATAAGAGAGGTCATATATTTGCGGCAGCAGGTCGCCGCAAGAGACAGGCCATCCACTTTTTGCGTCGTTGTCTAGCGCCCATATTGTGCCGTGCTACATCAAAAACAAATGACTACACGAGGCTTGCAGACTTCCGATGGACTCACGACACGTACGATCAATCGAGCAACAACTACTTAAGGTAGCAATACGATCGAAGGCTAAGCCGCAAGACAAGTACGGATTGGTAGATCAAAGGTGTGGTATACAGGTAGGATCCACCGATTGTCATAGCAATGAGGAGAACCATACTTCGGCTAGGGCGGAGTGCCTATTCAACTCTTGTGTTGCTGTTTTAGGCAACATTAACCTTCATGAAGAAGCGCTATCATTGTTAGAACTAGGTCCTAGATTTGCATCAGACCAATCAGTTTTCCCTCGGGTTGCTCGTAGGCCTTTACGCCCTTCTAGAGTCGCAAAGGCCGAAGAAGCTGGACCAGGAGACATGCTGCTAGTAGGAACTGGAAATGTCGCTATGGCACCATCCTTGACGGTCGTGCCAGCCCAGTTTTACAGAGAGCAGAAAAAGTGTATCCTGTTGTGGCTGCTCCTTAAAGGATTGTCCAGCATCCGCCGTTCCAACCGACATCCGACCGACCGGCAGCGTTGCTGGCCACGTGTCGACAACGCAGGACAGATTCCGTACAGCCGGCATCGATCGGTGTCCAGCGTCGTCAACGCGTGGCCAGCAACGCTGTCGGTCGGTCGGACGTGGGTTGAAACAACGCACGTCGTTGAAGTCTGAAAGCGTCCCATGGGCTGCGCCAGGGTGCCCAACTTTGCCATTGAGGATCATGCGCTCCAACTGCAAGGTTTGCTGCGAGGGGCCGCGCTAAGCGACAAACGTGCGTGCAATAGCATCAGCTAGCGGGATCCACGCAGTAGTGCCGCACCATAAATTTCTCATCCTTGATCCCTTTTTTCTTCGCTTTCCTTTAAATATAGTTGGTTCCAACGCGAAAATCCTAGTCAATTGATTCTGGGAATTTGTTTGAACCTGAATACAATTTGATGTGAAAATTTTCAGGGTAAAATGCTGGTGTTATTCGAAACCGCGGCGGGTTATGCCATGTTTAAACTGCTAAGCGACAAGAAATTAAAAAATGTTGATAATATATACGAAGAATTTAGCACGGCAGAAAAAGCACAAGAAAGGTAGGGAAATATTCCATGCCTATTGATTGGTATACATATCTTACCTCATCTTTTAGTTTGCAATTGGTGGCATTTAAAAAGTTCAAAAGCACAACGGAAGCCGTGGAAAGTGCGTGTGCATTACATGAAGGAAAAATCAACAAAACATTGAAGAAGTTGCTAAAAGGAAAAGTTAATGAAAATGAACAACTTGCTGTGGGCGACGCCAAATTGGGAAACTTGATCAAGGTCTGCTTTGTTATTGTTGCGTTTTTATATGTATTTTTTCTATTTTACCTTCCCGAACAGCAATCGAAGCAAGCATTTTGTTCATTGAAAATAACAACCCCCCATTTCCTGGCTTAATTCTTGTTTTTTGTTTTATTTTTTGTTTGTTTTGTGCAAAACTTCACTTCCTACTGCACGCCTTGTGCTGTTAACTGCGTTTTTTGATTACAGTATCACTGAGATTCGATCTATGGGCCAGCAGAAGGAGTTGCTTTATTTCCTTCGTGGAATTAGTGAGGATCTTAAAAGCTTTATAAATTTGAATAATCGGATGCGGAACTGTGATAGACGAAAATTGGATTAAGAATCTAGCATCATTTATAGGAAATTAGTGGCTGCGAAGTGACCACAACATCCCTTGGTTGAAGGCATAGAATTCTTTTTTCGATGAGTTGATCCTACCCTACCGAGAAGTAAATCCCAATTTAACTCTGCTAATAATTCCAAAAAGATTTGGAACTCCCGAAGCTTACTTTAATTGAAGGGATTATCTGCTCTAGATTAGTTTTATTTATT